CCTGAAAGCATCATAATGAATGTGACAAATGTTTCCTATTTCATCCTTTCTGCTTACTTTGACACTGGACCTCTAAAATATGTCGTTTTTACAGTGGTGTTGTGTCTGTATGTGTTTATTATCTGCTGTAATGTTGTTCTGATTGTGGTTATCTGCATGAACAGGAGTTTACATGAACCTATGTACATGTTTCTGTGCAGCCTGTTTGTAAATGAACTGTATGGTAGTACAGGCTTGTTTCCATTCCTGCTGATCCAGATTCTGTCRGACGTTCACACTGTTTCTGCTCCGCTCTGTTTCCTGCAGATCTTCTGTATCTTCATGTATGGAAACGTAGAGTTTTATAGTTTAGCCGTCATGTCTTACGACAGATATGTTGCCATCTGTTTCCCTCTGCGGTACAGCACTGTGATGTCTGATAACGTTATCCTGCGGCTGGTTGTGTTCTCCTGGTTTCTGCCTTTAGTTAATTTAGTTGTGATGCTGTCTCTGAGCGCCTCGTCCCCTCTGTGTGGGAACATTATTGATGGCTTAAATTGTACCAACTATAATGTTGTAAAGTTGGCGTGCAGGAGCTCGACTGCCAGTAATATTTACGGACTTGTTTACACCTTCACTGTGATTGCCAGCCTGGCTGTGATGATCCTTTACACCTACATCAGGATCCTGAAAGTCTGTTTCTGTGGMTCCAAACAGACCCGACAGAAAGCCGTCAGTACCTGCATGCCTCACCTGGCCTCTCTCATCAACTTCTCCTTTGGTAGTTTTTTTGAGATAACGCAGAGCAGGTTCAACATGAGCCACGTTCCCAASGTCCTGCGTATCATTTTATCTCTTTACTTCCTCGTGGCTCAGCCGCTTCTTAACCCCGTCCTGTACGGGCTGCAGCTGAAAAAACTACGACTTACCTGTAGAACTCTGTTCTTTGGTTCAAAATAAGATCCAGGTTGTTTAAAAGCTGCMTCACTGCAGGTGTGTATCAGGTGTGGAACACAGAAATATTTTGAAAATAAACAGCTTTAATTTAATTCACTGTGACATGTGTTTATTCTCAAAATTATGAAAACATTTTAACACAAGGCAGAAAAATAAAAAGAATATAGATTAAATAAACAACTGCAATAACTGATGTATAAAACTGGTGAAACAGAATAAGAAGCTAAAAATGATCTTAAATGCATGACTTTCAAAAAAGGAGCTAAAACAATTGCTAAAAAAATGAAACCATCAGTAGAAAAACTAAATCTACCTTTAAGAAAATAAATATAAGAATAAGAAACAAGTTCTGCTAATAAATTTATGAATCAATTAATTTACTGAGCTGCTTTAAAAACTTTGAAACATTTTTTTTGTAAGAAACATGTTTTCACCATTTTATTAAATTTTCCCAGACACGAAATATGTCCAAATCAGCTGTCATTAGTAGACTTTTGAACGAAACAAAAATAAATTTAAAAATAGTTGAAATAAAGTGTGTTTTATGGTTAATGTGTGGTTCTCTCACTTAGATGAGCTGATAGTGCACCAATATGTGAACATGTTTTATTTGTATATAACTTCCCACAGCATTACTTCAGTGCAATCTTTGTTTTTGTACTTTGTTCTATTATAATTGTGATCTTGTCACTTTAGTGCTACATTCACTAGAAAATGTGCATTGCACCTGTGATCCATTCAAGTCAAACATCAAATATTTAGGTGTAATGCCCCATTTGTAAAACACAGATTTAAGTATTAGCATGTCATATGCCAAGATAAATTAGAGGAATTTATCAAGAGCTCAGCTCTCGAACAAAGTGTTTGACTGTTTCTATAAAACTCTACTGAACTGTCTCATAATAACMCACAATGGACCTAGCCTGTTGTACTGCTCCCTCTCACCTTTTAGTGACTTCAGTATTAGGTGTGTACATCAGCAGTTTTATCAAGATACAATATATTGATTTGTTTGGATGATGATTCGATGTTTGTCAATGTCACGAAGTCTGTCATGATATTATTTTGATTCAGTTCATTTTACAAGTCTGCGATTGATATGACGAAATATATATATATATCAGTCCACATCAGACTTATAATGATGATTTTGTTTTGCTTTGATGTAATCAAATCAATCATTCAATCAATCAATGTATCAATGTAGATTGATGTATTGTTACACCACTTTCCATAATATTTCATTAGTGCTACCTGATTGGTTAAGGGGCCTCATCTTTTCCCATGAAGTCAAATACTCAAAGTCCATAATGGCAAATGACCTATCTCCCCCTCGTTGTCCATGTCTGATCTGTCACTTTCAAACTCAGTAAGTATGACATCTTTCTTATTTTGAGGGATAATTTCATTGTTTGTCTGGCCCATCACCTAAATCTAACAAATGAAGAACCTCACTCAAAAACATAAAGAAAGAAAGAAAGAAAGAAAGAAAGAAAGAAAGAAAGAAAGAAAGAAAGAAAG